CAGTTCCATGATGCCGCGTCACAGGTCAGGAAGTCTACAAACAAACCTGCTTTCTCCGCCAGCACTGCCGCCTCGAGCACAATCTTAGCTAAAAGGTCGCCTTTGACATTTTCGTGACTTGCAAATGTTCCAAGCACCTGTGTTCAGCTACCCACAAGTGGCACGAACATTACGACAAGCCCGTGATTGCATAGGAGTGAGTGCTGTTCTTTAGGAGTGTACTGCGCCAAATCCACAAAGCCTTCAACTTAGCCATCTGCACTTACTGACAGGTTTTCTTACAACTTTATCTCATCTACGACAATACCTCCATGTTGATGGAAGCTGTCAAATTCAGCCACTTTTTTTTTTCAGCGCGCTCAACATCTTTTCATTAAAACCATAGCCAGTTCTGTATTGAGCCGTGTATTTTCGGATGGTTGTCTCACTTGGCAGAGCAAGAATGTTTTGCTTTCTCATATATTGGTACAACTTCGGGCTTCTTATCTTAAGCAGAATACACTCCAGCATCCATTCTTTATCATACTGCATCCCGCAAGGGATCTTCCTTTTTGCTGATTCGAAGCACTGTCTGACGGCAAGTTGTTGTTTTGGTGACAGCAAGCTTATCTTTGCTGCTAATACTTTTTCAGCAGTTGCAGCAGATTCATCCTTCAACCTACGAACATCTTTTGCTAGGTTCCCCAGCTTCACCATGAGCCTCTTGTTCATGCGGGTGCACACCTTCAGCTTTTTCACAGTACTACTGCAGGCCCTTGATGTCTTGTGTCGTTTCCTGATCCGCGACTGCCTTGTGATGAGGGCCTTTCTCAAGTACTTACAGCTGAAGCAGGGCGTTCCGTCTTTCTTGGTGCTTCCAAGGCACTTGACACTAAAAACTGCTCCCGACTTCAACTCAAGCTGGCGTTGCAAATTCACAGTAATGTTGGCTGTCAAAGAATCACCTTGTGTTCCCGCACCCTTGCACAAATTCAGTAGAGATGCTTGGTCCAATACCGCTTCTGCGTCCAGCATCGTAAAAACAGCAACTTCTGCTACGGATTTCCCTTGAACAAAAGTTCTCGAGTGGATACCATCGTCGGCATTCACAGTAAAAAACACGGCCTTTTCTACTTTCACTTCACCCGTGGAAGCATTCAGTGAACAAGACGTAAAGCATGCACCATCAACCTCCCGAAGTTCGTGAAATGTCTAGTACCTGTTGGGGAGTTTCACATCCCTCAAAGCTGCAATCGTTGCAAGGGCGTCGTCGTTCGCCGTGGGCTCCTTGAGGACATCAGATACGCTTGAAGGAGACCTGTTCCGCACAGCTGGCTCGTCCGTAGTTGACAGCCGTCGCCTTTTTCGTGGCACAGCATCCTCTTAGGATTTCTTCCTTATGTTTCTCTCTGGAGGCAAGCGCTTGCTCAAGTGCGGGGCAACGTTAGGCAGGATGGTGGGAACAGCGTTGGCGTCCCGCGAGGAATCCGTACTTCCGTGCCGTTGATGATGTGCACATAGTTCCTAACGAAGAAACGCTGCTCAAAATGTAGCTCACACACTGCAGAGTCCGGTGTTAGTCTCTTGTCGCCTCTGTGCAAATAACGTTCCCAGACGCTTCTTCGCTCTGGGTCTGCGGGCACTTTAAACAACGAAAGCTTCGCCGTTTGTTTCATTCGAGAGTACCCTGTGCTGCATCCAGGAGCGAAGCAATGGTTCAAGCGTTGTTTGTTAGAAGCCATTCGAACGTTATAGGATGAGAGAAAAGCGGGAGAATCACTTCTAACCAAGCGCGTTCCAGCCAAGGAACCGGCAACGCCGGCAACACGAAGTAGCTGCCTTCAAGATTGGACGACTACAACGCCGCCGCTTCGTTCGCCAGCGGCGGCGTCAACTGGTCCTATGGGTCGCTCTCTCCTCCCGCTTCACTGCCCTTTCTAGTACACTGTACTCTAGCTTCGGCGAGCGAACTCCACTGTTGCTGGCATGAAGCCGTCTACTTGCACCAAGAAAACCGCCTAGTGAGCGGTATGCAATTTAGAAATAAGATATATTGTTGTGTAATGGAACGGAAAGTGTTTATGAATGCCTTGCAGCACTTTTTTTATATGCACATGCGAAAACATTGCGTTATTTCTTGTTGCGCATGCGTGACTCGGGCAGGGTCACGTGCACGTATGTAGTCTTCGTCTTTTCCGGTTTTTCGCTATTGGCTGCTTGAGCCCAGCACTTCCGGGCGATGAGCGACGGTTTCCAACTCTGGAGAACCGAGCGATCGCGCGAAAACCAGCACGCGACACGTCGCGCGAACGCCCTGTTTCGTCGCTCATAGCATCGCTCGTCGCGTGCATTTTCGCGCTTATGAGGTAAAGCCACACGGCTGCTTCAAGTTGCAAGTGATAGCTTATGCGCTAAACAACGGCAACAGAGCCGCAGGTAGGCCCTTCGGAGCCTACGAGTTTTGTGTTCGCTACTGGTGACGGCAGCTGAAAGCCACCGAGACGCGTTGGGCCTGCCGTGTGCCTTAAACTGGGATTGATGGTAAACTTCATTTCTACGGAAGGAAACTGCGGACAATTTCGTTAAATAGCCATCAGCCCAATACTGACGTCCTATGCTTACTTTTTGAGGGCTCCTATTGAGCGCCGACCGCTACCGCTACGCCCGCAATGCCCACAAGCTTCGCGTATGGTATTCTAATTCTCGACTATTTGCTTCCACTTTTTGTGTCTCAAATAAATCTTGCCTTGTGTTGAACCTCTGCTTTTATTGTTGAGGTAAGTTCTAATTAGTACTTCTTAAAGCTTGCTGTAAGGTGCTTTTGTGAGGATTCCGATGATGATGATGATGATCCCACAGCCGTGGCTCGTACCCACTCAGGGGGATCGGCCAAGATTCGATGACTTAATTCAGTAAGATATTTTTTTCAATATCGAAACAACCCACCAGAAAAAAGAAAGAAAAAAGAAAAAACACTAGGCAGAATGAAAGGAGGGCAATAGTTGTTTGTCACTCGTTCAGATAAGACAATTATTCATTACATTGAATAGGAATCAGCATGGTTAAACAATGCTCTTGTGTGTGTTCGAATTTTTTTTTCGCACAAATAATAATCATGCAATTAAAAGCTTAATTCTTTTACTTTCGCTTAGGTACTTGCAAACTGCATAGAAAACGTTCTCGTGGCTGAAGCCCAGATCGTAAGCACCGAAGGAAAGTATGTTTTCTATAGTGAAATTCAGCCCCAGGCTAGCGAATGGGAAGACTAAGAGTTTTTTCCTGAGCAATTTGTATCGGCGACATGACAAAAAATAGTGCTCTATTGTTTCCAATTCTGAACAAAAATTGCATAGTGGTGATATCGCCAGACCAGCCCTATGTGAATAGAAATTTAACAGGGGGACACGACATCGAAATCTAGTTAATATAATTTCCATCTGTCTTGTAGAACACCAATGAGTTTTCCATGAAAATCTTAAAGGAGTAAATTCTGGTGTTGACAATGTTGCTTCCATAGTGTCTGCACTAAGCGCAAGTTTTCTGTATCATGTCGCAGTTATAGTGGCCACTTCGGGAAGGACTGATAGTACTGGCCCTTCCAATGCTGCTCGTGCTAGAGAGTCAGCAATTTCATTTACTTCTAAGCCGCAATGACCGGGTACCCATACTAATTTCAGTAGCTGCAGCTGAGGAGGAACTAGCATAAGGAGCGTCTTTAAGGCCATCGATTTTGTTGACGCCGTAAGCGACGTACATACTGACAGAAAATCCGTGATTATGATCGCATTAGCAGCATTAAAAGGTAGCTTTCGCAGCACTAGAACTATTGACAACAGTTCAGCCTCAAAAACTGGGGTGAAATCCGGTAATCTTAATGAAAAAGACCAGTCAAGCGAATGGGAGTATATACCTACACCTGTCTTTTCATCCATTACTGAAGCATCTGTGGCTATAATATTATTCGTTTCTGCGTGGGCAAGATAATCCTGCAGTCGGTTATTTAAGACCCTATAGGATTGTAATTTGGGCCTAGAGGGAAAAGTCTCATCGAATTCCATCTTAAGAATTTGATTTGTAACCTGCGCCGCAATCACATCTCGAATTTTTACATTTATCCTGTCTAGTTGTTTCTGAACAAAAGCAATTTGAGGTGTTCGAAACCGTGGCCAATGAGCTAGAAAAAAGGTGTCTGGGTCATTTATAAAATCATATTCAGATCGTCTTGGCGCATAGCTATAAAATTTCAGAAACGTCTGAACCGTTAGGATACGAAAACGGAGAAGGCAATGTAGGTAATCGTGCTTCCTGATACAAAACATTGTTTGTTACAAACTTAGGAAGTGTCGATTTGCGGCCACTTCGTTTTCTTTTTCGCTCTCTGCGTTTTCGTAGAAAGTTTTTCGCGCGTAATTCTTGCACCCCCCTACTTTGCATGGGTTTTTGGGCAAAAAAAGAGTGAGGATTATGCGAGTAAATACGGTAAAAACCATTTGAAATTCAGCACTTGCCCATGTATCAGCTCTATTCTTTTTGCATTAGCATTTCTTTCTCACGCTGTTGAAATATTTTTGAAAATGAACTACCAACTCGACAAACTCGTCCTAATGCTCACGTGACCGGTCGAAAAAAGCAGTACAGGTAATATTATGTATCATCATGCTCTTGCGCGATTTTTTTATTATGTTATCAGATTTCTCTTGAGCAGCATAAATAAAAAAGTTACACCTCAACAATAGCTGTAACGATCACCAGGGCCCTGACCATCCAGCTTGATACTATATCCTTTTTGTGACAAAAAATTGGAAAATGTGGAAGTGAATGGCAATCTCAATGAGGGCATGAACAATGTGTGAATACATGAGCACATTCGTGCGCCGATAAAGAACCAATCTCAGCATTGACAATTTCGAGTCCATGTTTGTAGTTGTTACTGAGCACCACGTGAACTTTCTTATAACCTAGTTTTTTTTCAACAATTACACTAACTTTGTTAGTATATTAACTTCTTGACCATTGTGCAGGAAGTGCTGCCTGCTTCCGGTATTGACGAGTTAATCCTGGGAATGGCGTCTCAGATTGCCGAGAAAGAAGACCACATTCTCTGCTCAGATGTCCGAGGTGAGTGTCAGCCAGGGGAGCTTGAGTTCACTGCTTCAGTAGAACAGATTAATCAAGAAATCCGGCAGTTTTCACATACCATATGAATTGATGGTATGTGAAGCATGCAGAGGGTAAGTGACTTTTTATTTTTTGATTGAGTGAAACGTTACCAAATGATGCTGAAGATATGTAATAACGTTGTACGCACAGTTTTATGTTGAACACTCGCATATGTTTTACATAAACAGCTGTTTAGAGTTGGGTAATAATGCGATTGATAGTGCTACATAGACAAATTTTAGTGGCTGGCACTTAACTACAATTGACATTAACGGGACTAAATGCCAGTTATCCTAAGAATATATATATATATATATATATATATATATATATATATATATATATATATATATATATATATATATATATGTGGCTGCCCACTAGAAAAGAAGACGATGTTCTGGGGCAGTGCGTGCTCTGGCTAGTTGTTGATTATTGAAGCAGCCATCTTGCCAGTTTTCGGTGTGTCTCCCCGCCGGCTCAGTTCTTCCGAGTTGAAGACCTTTTTGTAGCACGTGACAACTGGTGGAGCTGCTGGGTGACCCCCAGCCGATGTTCCAAACGCCTTCAGGTAGCCCTGTACCTGCAGTGACAACACCTGTTCACCGCTCAAGCCGAAGACTCCGAGGACTACCTCCCGAGCGTAGACCTGTTCCCGAGACGACGTCTGTCACACCCCCGAATGCTAGAGAAGGCGCTGCAGTCTCCAACGCACTGCAAGGCACTGCAGCCACACCTCATACGCTGTGGAAGCCACGTGTGTTGAAGGTGTTCCACGGTTCTGTCTTGGAGGATGTCGAAGCCTGACTGGCCCAGTTCAAACGGGTCTTTGATAACAATGGTTGAATCGACTTCGACAAGGTGAGGAACGTGTATTCCAGCTTGGAGGACGGCGCTCGCACTTGGTACGAAAACCGTGAGCCTTTTTCCTCGTAGACCGACTTTCATAGATACTTGCTGCCAAGTTGGGCCAATCTCGATCGCCAGGAACGAGCCAAGCGAGCCTCCAAATGCCGAATAAAAGTGTCATGATGTACGTTGAGGACATGACAGGCCTCTTTCGTCGAGCCGAACCCAGCATGGCAGAAGAAAAGAAGGTCCGTCATTTAATGTGAGTGTAGAGAGGAAAAAGATTATGTGCCGCAGTGGGTCATGCCTTTAGCGAGAGGAGCCAAGCACGAGCTGTTTTCCCCGAGAGTTGTGATTCCTGGGTCTGTTGCTGCCACCCGCTTTCCGCATCAGTAGACCTGCTGTGCAAGTACTGCTTACGCCAGTAAACCCCGTTTCAGAGTGGTGGAGGTGCTGGGTAACTCAACCTGGACCTCCGCAACAGGAAACTACCTGCCACGCCAGAAATGGCTTAAGAAAACACCCAGCAAGGTACGACCCAGCCTCCGATGGTCATCAAGCCCACTGCGCTACGCGTGCGCGATCCACCTTTTTTTTTACTTTACCGATGAGCAAGACGTAGAAGATTGGCTGTCGACATTTGAAAAGGTAGGCGCAAGCAACAAGTGGGACGACATATCAAAGCTGCAATATGTACCCTTCTACCTGAAAGAGGTAGCGAGTCTCTGGTTTAACAACCACCACTCGGAATTCGCCACTTGGGGTGCTTTTAAGCTACGCATTACCGATGTATTCGGTCGCCTCGAGGTAGGCGAGCTCTGTGCCAAACAGCGTCTACAGGGATGCGCACAGCTTTAGGGGGAAGGCTTCACAAGCTACATCGAGGATGTGCTTGACTTGTCTAAGCGCCTTGACCCTTCAATGATCGAAGCAGACAAGATCAAACACATCTTGAAGGGGATAGACGATGCCTTCTAGATGCTGCTGGCAAAGGGTCCACGTACCGTGTCCGAAATGGCCACTCTTTGCCAGAGCTTCGAGGAGTTGCGCAAACAATGGGTCATGACACGGCGGCCAGCGGTTACCGATAAAAGTCTCGCGGCATTGACCCTGGGTGGAGACCACAACACAATAATGTCGGAAATCAAACGATATGTGCGCGAGGAGGTGGCCCGACAACTTTCGTGCCTGTCATATCTGCCGGCAACAGAACCCTCTTCTGAGTGTATCGCGCCCGCCATCAGGCAGGTAATACAGACGCAGGTCTCCGAGGCGCTGCCGTCCGTCTCTCAGACAGCACCCGTCACCGCGCCATTGACTTACGCTGCTGTTGCTGCTACTCCGCCACAACCTCGCTTAGACCGATTTCCCAGCCTGTACGAGTACCAACGACACCATTTCCAGCAACACAACAGCGCTATAACGGAAATCCTTGGCGCACAGTTGACAATTGCCTGATCTGTTATGCATGCGGATATCCAAGTCACGTGGCGCGCTTTTGTCGTTGGCGCTTCACTACGAGCCCGGCTGCAGCTCCGAGGTACTCTGACTACTCTTTCCTGGCCCCGTACAATGCGCAACGAGAACTGCCCCATCAATGCGACCGACAATCAGTGGAACGCGACCCGTCACCAACCGAACTAGACCACCACCCTGCTGCCGACTATTGACCATTCGGTCCCTGTCGCTCATTCTCACCATGCTGCTACCGTTCTCCGTCCCCTCTGCGTCGCTAACCGAACCCCAAAGAGACGGAAAACTGACTGCCGCAGCTCCGGAGACACGAGCTGCAAAATTGTCGCATTGTAGAAGTCCTCGCCCGTCCCCCACAAACGTTCTGGAAGTGTTTGTTCAAGGTCTACTAACTCTTCCGCTTATTGACACGGGTGCCGCCGTATCTGTGACGAGTCAAAAACTCTGCCGTATGGTAGGAAAAGTAACGACGCCGCCTTCCGACGTTTTGCCCAATACCGTGAGTGCGCAACCAATTCGACCAGTCAGAGCATGTACGGCGAAAGTAATCATTCAGGACGTCCTGTACCACATCGAGTTTCTCGTGTTGACCCCTTGTTCCCACGACGTGATACTTGGATGGGATTTTTCTTCGTGCCACCATGGTTTAATTGACTGCGCTCATGCACAGGTGAAATTTTCCGTGTTTTTTGATGCGCCATCTACCGACAATGAGTGCACTCACCTTGGCAAGCTTCTTGTTGCTTCTGACATTGATGTTCCTCCTCTTAGTGCCATCGTTGTCCCCGTCAATCCCACTGAATTGTCCGGCTCTACCGTTGTGTTCTCCCCATCTGACGTTTTCAGTCGCCGCCATGCTACGTCTCTGCCGTACGCCGCTCTGCCACCTCACCAAGATACTTCTGGAATTGTCGTTTGCAATCCAAGCTCATTCCCTCTCACTTTAAGAGCTCACGAAATGCTGGGCTATGTTCTTCCTGTTGATGGCAACGTTATTGTGCCTATTGAGTCCCACGACCCTGGCCAGCAACTTCAACTGAACACTGTTACTCCTCTTTTTATGCGGGATGACTACTCCTCAGAAATCTTCAATCGTTCCATCGACAGCAAGCTTCCCCCGGATCAACGGGACCAGCTTATAATTCTTCTGCATGAATTCCGAGATTCATTTGACCTTTCTCAAAGGCACTGAGTCAAACTAACACCGTCGCTCACAATCTACACTGGAACGCACCCTCCTTTGCGGCAACGCCCCTACCACGTATCACCCAAGGAACGAAGTGTAATTGCAGAGCAGGTGGACGACATGCTTCAGCGCGGTGTCATCAAGCCATCTTCTAGCTCCTGGTCTTCACTTGTTCTGCTGGTGACGAAAAAAGACGGTTTGATTAGATTTTGTGTCGACTACCGGCGACTGAACAAAATATACGGAAAGATGTACACCCTCTTCCCCGCATCGACGACGCTATCGATTGCCTACAAGGTGCCGAATTCCTTTCTTCGCTGGACTTACGTTCAGGTTTCTGGCAAAGTATGACCGTCCCAAAATAGCGTTCGTTACGCCGGATGGCCTATACGAAATCACGGTTATGCCATTCGGTCTGTGCAATGCACCTGCAACGTTTCAACGAATGATGGACAGCATTTTACGCAGCCTTAAATGGCAGATATGCTTATCTTACCTTGATGTTGTTATCGTATTCTCTCCTTATTTCCTTACCCACGTCGACCGTCTGCGCACAATTCTTCAGTGCCTTACTAAGGCAAACCTCTAGCTTGACCTAAAGAAGTGCCTTTTTGGGGCTCGCCAACTTACTATACTTGGTCACGTTGTGTCGAAGGATGGCATTTGCCCCGACCAGGACAAACTTCGAGCCGTAACCGACTTTCCGAAGCCGACTTCACTCAAAGAACTTAGGAGCTTCAGCGGCTTGTGCTCGTATTTTCGCCGTTTCTTCCACAACCTTGCATCAATAATAGCCCCATTTACGCAACTACTGAACGGTCCAGCTAATCTTTCTAACTGGACCCCGGCATGTGACGAAGCCTTCCTTACACTGCGCCGCCTGCTTACGTCACCACCCATTCTACGCCATTATAACCCAAGTGCCCCCCAGTTAAGTGCACACAGACGCCAGTAGCGTTGTTCTGGGAACAGTACTCATGCAACGAAAGCCCGGTCATCCAGAGTACGTCGTCGCATAGCGTTGTTCTGGGAACAGTACTCATGCAACGAAAGCCCGGTCATCCAGAGTACGTCGTCGCATATGCAAGCCGCGCACTCACGAAAGCAGGAGTGAAATACTCAGTAACTGAAGAAAAATGCCTCGCAATCATTTCGGCCTTAAGTAAGTTTCGTTCTTACTTGTACGGACATAGTTTCGATGTTGTGACAGACCACCATGCACTTTGTTGATTGGCGTCGCTAAAAGATCATTCAGGTCGCCTTGGACGTTGCGCTCTTCGCCTACAAGAATTCGACATTCGTGTCGACTACCGCTCAGGACGAAAACACTCCGATGCAGACACCCTCTCACGATCACCAGTGAGACCCAGTGCAGACCTGCATTCGGACGCCAGCTTCCCCATCGCTCCCATTTCTGTCTCAAGCATGTCGCCTGAAGAGCGGAAAGACC